GAATTTTGCACAGGACTTTAAAAGACTCTGAGAAAATGTGTGCATCTTAAGATACAGATAAAGATACATGTATCCTATAATGAGAAAGGTGGAGAAAGGCGGCTTACCTGGGCATCAGCCAGCATGACATCCTTCAGCATGGGCTGGCCCTTGGGCTCACCATTTTCCATCCTCACATAATGTACTTGGTACCCTCGTATCTGGCCATGCTGTTTATTGGGCACAGGTGAGCGCCACGAGACTTTTACAGATGTTGAGTTGACAGCCTCTACCTCGACTTTGCGAGGCGGACCACTAGGAACTGGAACAACAGCATCGGATAAAAGAAAATTATAGGCACTTGTCCCACCCAGTCAGTGCATTTTCTTTACTTAGATTTAAAAAAAAATATGGGTAGACCCACTAGGTTTCCCTTGAGGAACACAAACATTTTCAAACCAATGAAAATGCTCAACCAATCTGCTCTACCTTTTAAGAAAATATCAAAAAACATGACCGATGCCAAAAAAAAAGAAAAAAAAATGGAAGAAAAAAAGAGTATCAGAGAAATAGAAAAAACATGTAAAAATGCACAAAAGCCAAGGAAGATGCTTTGAGATTCAAAGCATTAGAGCACAAAGAAGTTATTGAAATAATAACAAAAACTGGTGGCTGATTGTTGTGTGTTTTTTAAAGGTTCCTCTTTTTTACAGCAGAGTAAAAAGATGCTTGATTATATGATTATCTTCTCTTTTTTTTTCCTCATATCAAAGGTATTCCATACAACAGATGCCAAAAACTGAATGCCGAGCATCAGTGTCTCCGAAATAGCAAGACAAAAAAAGACAACAAGAAGAGAAGAAGGCTCTTTTGAAAATGGAACTTGAAAATGCAAGAAAAAGAAGTGACTCCCAAAAGCCACAGAGACCACAGAAGACGTTAGACGCAGGGACAGAGAAAGGGCTGGATCACCAGGCCACAGTAGCAAACTGTTCATTGAAAAGGAGTCAAACAACTGTGTTGAGATTGAAAAAAAAACCAAAAAACAAAACCACCACAAAACCGCCCAGGCTGTGGTAATGACAGGTCTTTGGCAAAAAGTATTGATGTTAAGAGCGATGCTGGGTTGGAAAAAAGAAAAACGAGCAGAGGAAAAAAAAAAATGGAAAACTGTTAAGCCTACGACAAGACAGCAGACCAAGAGTGTGTCAGAGGTGCAAACTGGTGTAGCGGAGGCAACATACCATCTTCATCGGTTCGAATCAACACGGACATGCTCTCGGGGCCAGGGCCAACGTCGGTGTGGGCGGTGACAGTGATGCGGTACTCAGTCCATTTTTCCAGCTGTTCCAAAAGGTACTGGGTAGTGTCCGAAGGAATTCCCAAAATCTCATGAGGCTTGTGGTCTTCCCCGTCCACTGCAGAGTACTTGATGGAATATTCCGTGAGAAGGCCGTTCTGCTTTTCCACTGGTGGAGGCTGCCAACTTACCAAAATGCTAGTGGAACTGGGGCTGGTGCCACTAATGTCTTGTGGAGGAGCTGACGGCTCTTAGTTTGGTAGTGAGTTAAAGGAGGATTTGAGTGAGAGGACAGGAGTGGTTGGGGGAAAAAAACAAAACAAAAACAAAATGATAAAACAAAAGAAAAGGCAAAAATAAATAAACGAACAATACGGGCAACAGAATTAAAACAAAATTAAAAGACTTTGAAACAAAAAAATAAACAACCAACCAAATATTTACAGAGAAATTTGCATACCTTGGCTTAGTCACATGAGTAACCAAAAAGATGAACAAATGAACCAAAATAACTTAAAAATAATGAGTTGGGGGGATGTGAGAAAATGAAAGTTCAAGGTCATGGTGCCTCAAATAAAATTACCTACCTGCGATTTAAATTCTTCGTCTAAAACAATCTCTCAGTATCTCCCACCCTCTCCTAATCTACCACCCAGCATCATGAAAGCGGCAAAGAGCACAAGTTTTATTACTCAAATGTTGATGGTTCTTCACACAAGCTGTTCCGAGCAGTCACAGCTACGTTCTAGAATGAGGACAATTCACATACAGTGTTCATTTGTGGAGGGGTTATCAAGGGCGGAAATTTGCAGTCACTGCAAAGTCCCAATTTTAAGAAAGACACAAGCAAAGCAATCAAATCCCCAACAATCAGAAACGTTTCACTCTATCTGAAAACCTGAGTCTGCCTGACCAGTCTTAATGGAAAAAATCTTAATCTTACATTGATCAGAGCCCATTATACCCTGAGCATGCAAAACTGAGGAAGGGTCAAAATGCGGAGTCCAAGGTTTACCTACCGATGGTTATGTCTGCCTCGTAGAGTCTGACTGTCATTTGTACTTACCCTATGTCAGCTTTCAGCTGTTTTATTATAACTCTTCTTGAGACACCATTGCTAGTGAAAAATTAGAGCCCACCAGCAAATTTTGGTAAAATTCAATAATAATCATCTATCCCTTATCAAATGTCTATAATACAGTCATTCAGATAACTGCTTCAAACAAAGGGGAGGAAAATCCCTGAGAACCATCTAGAGAGAAAGGTGGTACGTGTAAACACTCTCCTACTGTGTACAGAATTATTTATATGCTATAGCATTTATATACGCGTTAAAAGATGGACTTTCTTACTGCTCATTTAAAAGTAAATTGGTTAGGCAATTCTTTCATGCACAATTAATCGAACATATTATTTTTCAAAAAACCAAGATGGCAATATAAAGTAGCTAATTATTATAAGATGGTATTAGAGTTTACATATATGTGTGTATGTGTGTGTGTGTGTGCGTATTCTTTAAGAGGAAAAAACAAGTGGAATTACATATCTATATATCTCTAACTATAGCTATACATATTTATTTTCTTTTCCAGGTAACCTATATGGTCCAGTGAGTGCCTCAAACTTAATCATAATTATTATCATTATTATTATTAAATTCAAATGAGTAATTTGAAAATCATGGGAGAAGGATGGGCCATCTCCTCCCGTGTGATTTACTGCTTCTGAAAACACGCCAGAGAGTCAACTATGGATCAGTTCCGACTGGATGGGACATCAGCTATGGGTCGGTTCTGACTGGATGGTACGTCAGCTATGGGTCGGTTCTGACTTGATGGTACAACAACAACAACAATTTGAAAATCCTCCTCCACACTCTGGACCCAGCACAATGAGAGATGAATCCATTGTTTGGAGAATTATCAGCACCTATAGGATCATCCGTCTCTCCTCACTTGCTCTGCTTTTCATTATTGTGGAATTAAACTGAAAAGCTGCCTGGACCGACACAAGGGAATCCCTGTGGGGCAGTCTTGTCAATTCAGAGTAAGATTAGGAAAATCACTAGACTATCATCTTTATTGATTGTGACTAGAGGTTCTTATAACTCAAATTATACAGCTACTTTATATGCCTTTTCATTATTCATAATAAAGTGAGTTGTTCATGTAACAGCAAGGACTCATTTGTAATTCTTTTTAGAGAACTGATTTGCTTTTCACTAGATTGCTACCTTCAGACCTCCTATCCTGTAAAATGACATTCAACAATGTTGGAGACTTCCTGATAAAACAGAGTGGATCAACTTCTGAGGCGTTTATAAAAAGCCCTTTCTACTTGTATGTATTTACATGTATTATGTAAAATAGGGAGGTTCATAACTGTGAAATACACCATACTGGAGCATGTCACATTTGTTTTAATTAAATGCCTGGTTTTACGAAATTATCTTCTGCAGTATTACTCCTTAGCCTTTCTGGGATTCAAAGCAAACAAATGGAAATGGCATTAATTTCCATGCTTCATATTTTAACGGTGAGTACAATTTATGAGAATTAGCAATGATAACGAATGGATTAAGCAGCAGAATCTTAATCCATACATTACAATTCTTAAGAAAAAGAAATATCAATTTTCATCATGAAAAAGATTCTGAAATATTTCAAGCTTCAAGAGACAATCATGACTGACCTGCTTAAGTGAAAAAATATTCTACATTTGATATTTTGCTGGCAGGTCTAAAAATGAGGTCAGTATACCGTCTTCTTTACAAAACTGAGTTACTCATAGTTTACTTATCAACTGTATATGTAGCTATATCAAATGGCATAAACTACTAACACTTTAAACCCTTAGGAAATAATGTGAGACTATTCAAGTGAAAGATTATTTAACTGACGACCTGGAGGAACCGATTAGCAAAGAGCAAAAACTCTTTTAATAAATCACATTGTCTCAGTCAAGGCTCCTTCTCATGTAATCTAAACTGGATAAAATGGAGTCTCAGTGTGGTAAACACAGCTATGTTTTAGAATAATGGATTCCAAAAAAGACCGTGAACCTGGGAAAGCACCATACAATTTAAGATTACAAATCTCCAGTGAATGTCGTGATTCTGTCATTATTCCTACATTTTCCCAAATTCCCAGATTTTCTGTGAATGTTTCATATTTCCACATGGACGATTCGCAGCGTTAATGACCAATCTCAAGAACTCAGCTGCTTTCTGAAGCGGAACGAACAAGGCAAAATAAAGACTGGCTTGTAATCAACGCTACCGGGGGCACTGTGGAATTAAAAGTTGTGTCCTTTGCGGACTCTTCAGTTCACTGATCTCCCTTCTGATTATTTTGCCATTTTCACCATTTGGATTTCACTCCACAACCTTCTAATTCATTAATTGGAAGGGCTGTTCATAGGGCCACTGTGGGTCACATTCAACTCCACTGTACCAAACAACCACCACCACCACCACCTCTTGGAAGTCTCCTAGTTTTCTCTGAAAGCCTTTTGATTTAGGAAATGGGAGAATGGGGTCTATGGGTCGGGCCAAGTCAGAAACCATGTTCCACCTTGGTTAGACTCTGATGTCCAACCTTGAGAGCTCACTAGTATAGAAGTCAGTGACTCAAAGCTTTGTTGGAGAATGGGGGCGGGGTGAAAACTGCCAACAACTGCTAGTGACAGAAAGGACAGCAAACAAACAAAGAGAGACACCTACTGGACTGCATGGTCCGGGCTGATATCTCAGCTGTGGAAGCACCCAGGCCTTGAGGGGAGCGAGCGGCCAGACGGAAGTAGTACAAGCTGTTTGGTTTCAGCCCTTGGAGCCGGTAAGATGTCCCAGGTTCAATGGTAATTCGTTGCTGTGGGTAAGTAAGTTGAGAACTTGGTCATTGAACATCTTCATTAAGAGCTTTTTGGGAACATACATATACAACACATATATAACATACAAGTATATACAGAGGGATAATATTTATAACATATATGAGCTGTGGTGTTGGAGAGGAGCGCAGAACATCCCATGGACACCACAGAACATACTGGTATGTCTTGGAGAGGGTGCAGCCGGAGTGCTTTTTGGAGGCAAGAATGATGAGGCTTTGCCTCACGCACTTAGGGCATGTTGCTAGGAGGAGCTATTCCTTGGAGAGGGACATGCTACTGGGAAGGGTGGACGGTCATCCTCATCCAGATTGATTGGCACAGTGACTGCCACAATGAGCTCCTGTGTGTCAGACGTATGAGAAAGGCACAGGATAGAATAGGGTTCAGATCTTTTGTTCTTGGTGTCTCTAGGAGTTGCACTCAACTTGATTGCACACCACCACCACCACCACCACCACAATACCATGTATGTATGTACATGTATACATCAGGGTTATTAAAAACCATCAGACTCTATAGGAAATAACAAATTATATTAAAGGAATTACATAATAAAAATAACAGCATTTAAAAAACAACTCCATGTGTGCATTTAATCATTGCAGTAAATAATAAGGCAACCAACTCACAGCTGATCCTCCGGCAGGTTTCTGAAGCTGTAAATTGCATGGGAAGAAACTGGGCATCTTTCTCCTGGAGAGAGGAACTGGGCACGGGGAAGCAGGTCTTTCTAAGGTTGACTTTGCTTTCCAGGAGCGTCAGGCAAGAGGCAGAAGGAGAGAACATCTACAGCTGTATTCCAAACTCAAGGTGGAAATGGCTGAGCCTCAGTGGAAGCTGCCACCTGCCCCTATTTGTATTGTTGTCTCTAAGTGCCCTTGAGCTGACTTTGATTATGAGTGTGTGAACATTTTTTTCAGATAAAGAAGTCAAAGTTGTTAGCTGCTCTTAAGTCGTTTCCTGTTCCTGCCAAGGTCATGTGTGCAGAGCAGAACGGGGCAGATGTAAAGGTTTTAAGGCTGCGACTTTCAGGAGCAGATCATCAGCTCTGTCTTCCAAATCACCTCTGGTGGCTTTGAACTGTTAACCTTTCAGCCAATAGTCAAGTGCTTCACCACTGCTGCCATCTGCTAGGTACTATAGTTGTTGTTAGGTGCCATCAAGCTGACTATGACACACAGAAAACCTATGAACAACAGAACCTTGCCCCTCCTGCACCAGCCTCTTAGTGTTCCACATGCCAGAGCTCACTGTTACAGCCACTGTGACGACCCGGGGAGGGTTTTTATCTTCCCTCCTACTTTTCCCAGCATTACGCCTTTCTCTAAAAACTGCCCTCTGTCTACTGTGTAAGAGATGAAGTTCAGCCACTCTTGCCTTTATGGAGCACCCTGGTTGTACTCCCACCAAGATAAGACTTGTTTATTCTTATTGTTGTGGATCATTGAGTTGGGAATGACTCAAGGCTGACCCTTCAGTAGATCTGTTAATACAGAGATCACACTGAAGACAGCCCTGGCATAATATGTGTGCTACTTACGCTTTCCTATTAATTTCTATTTCTCTTTCCAGAAAGTATCAACAATTTTCACACTTAATGTAATCGACTCCTAACATGTGTATCACATACTCCAAGTGTGGGCATGAAACTCATTTTCTCCATATTCATATCACATACTTAACAGACAGGCAAGGATTTGCTCTGAGCCTCCTTCTCTGAAAGCAGTCTGGACAGACTCACAGGGCCGAGGCCTTTTATGAGCATCCAGAGAGCATGCACCACATGTCCATATGGTGACTTGAAATGCAGGAGAGAAATGAAGAGGTCCCCAAGCCACATGGGGTTCTTTACCCTATTACTGGACGCTTCTCTGAAATGCGATTACATAAGAAGTCCAGAAGGAGCAATAATTGCTCGGTTTGTTTTTGTTTCTCCCCTGAAACATTCTAAATTCTTGGTTTTGTCGGTCACACTCTATTTTGATTAAATCTTTCCCATCAAGGCCGTCTGTCAGGATGTAACCTTTGTACAGGAACTGTAAACACAGAGATGTAGTGGCTGAAGAAATCTAAGGGTGGCTGTCTGAATCTACCCAGCACCTCTGCAACTCTGTCCCCGTGGGCCAGGTGAATGATCGTATGAAACACAATGTGAATGAAGAATAGTGTGAAACAAAGTGTATATAAATTTTATAAGCAAGCCAATTAAAAAGTAATGCTAAATAATAATTTTTAAAAGATTAAAAAAAATAAGTTCCAGCCTATAGAACTCTAAGGGGTGGGTTGGCCACATGGAGTTGCTACGAGTCCAAATCAATCAAATGGCACTCGACAACAGTAGAGTCACAGTCCAGGTCCAGAAAGGATGACGCAGGTGAGACGCACGCAGTCTTACCTCCTCTCCATGCTCTCCGTCTTTGTACACCAGTTCATAGCTGGCTATGGTGTCTGAACGCGGAGGCGTCCAAGACAGCAAGATGCTTGTTTCCGATTCAGGCTCTGCTTTGAAGTTCAGTGGCTGCCCTGGGACTGAAAACAGGGAGGCAACAGACTGAGTCACTCACATCAGGCACACCCATACATTCTCTCCTAAGTACATTTATTGAAACACCTTTCAAGATGTGGCCACCTGCTCAGCTAATGGTCAGTGGGGTGCCTTTCCCTGTCTACATAGAGCGGTGAGTATAAAGACAATTTTCATCCCCAAAGGGCAAGAACAATACTATGAATGCTGTCACTGTCCTGGAGTAGTTTGTCACCGATACAAGAGAGAGTCGAGTTAGCAGCCATGGAGCATCTTTGTCTCTGAATTCAATTTTCAAGATAATAAAACTACTTACTTCATAATGTTGTGGTGAATAAATGAGATATATAGCCCATTTGGAACACTGCCTAAAACTTAACGAGTGCTAAATAAATACAAACTATTATTATTTTTCTACCAAATGGGAATTTATTCTTTAGCACTGCATGCAACTTTCAAAATTCCTTCCAATTATGTTAATATATTTCTGCCTTTACATGATTAACGAGACCTAGAGACAACTAGAACCATCTAGCATTTACCTTAACAACCTATATCTAGAAAGAAGTGCAAACAATCAAGTAATCATTTATAAAGAATTACTTTTAATTTCCTAATAACTTTAAATGACTTAACATATTAGACCTATTAATATAGCACTGACCTTAGTTGAATGGAGCTAAGTAGTACTGAAATTAAAATGCTTATCAAATTGACTTTTATTTAGAAACAGGATTTACTTATTCTAAAAGTTACCAATAGCTTTTAACATTATCAGTTGTTCATCCTATATAATATTATCAAAGAGCTACATAAAATACAGTAAATACTGGAAACTTATTCGTGTGAAAGTTATATTCTACAGCAGACTATATTTTTCTAACCCAAAATTCTAGCTAAAAACACACCTATTGTCCTTTATCTATTATACATAAATCTGAGTTTGCATAGCTACCATTCCATTGCTTGGCCAATGTTTATCTACTGGTTGATATCTACGGCTTCCTCATGAGTAAATATTATGACTTTGACACCATGGAAATCCCAATGTGTCTTGTCCGAACATCTATACCTCATCCCTAAGTTAACATGAAACTTCATGTGCATTTAATTAAAAAACTCCTAGAATAAAGATTCTTCAGATCAGTGGTAAGAGAACAGCTAGAGTGTATTACACCAATGTGGACGTGAACAATCAAAATCACACATGAAATAAAGCAAAATGTAGTTGGTATACAACATCATTTGATTAATCTTATTAATTCCAGAAGCATTTCTTCCTACTTTGCAAGTCTCTTAAAATAAAACTTAAAAAATGTCTCTTTGTGTGCAGGAGAGAGTGTGTGTATGTAAGCATGTGTACACATGTATGTTTGGACTGAAGGTTGTGACCACAGAGACTCAGTGTTTCATATCTGCAGTTTCCATGAGCAGCTTTTTGTCTTGTTTTCCTTTTAAAATCACAGGTCTTGAGAGCCACATTAATGTTCTGCCTTTAGAAACATCAAATATAGATTGAGATTATACAAAAGAGACAGAAGTTGTCAAGGATTTTCTTTTACCTTGGATATACAACTGACACTCACGGTAGCAGCAGTCAAGAAACTGAAAAAATGTGATGCGCTGGGCAAATACGCTATCAAGGATGTCTTCACAGTGCTAAAGAGCAAGTATACTAACTGAAAGTCTAAGGTGAGCCAGATTCAAGCTATATTTTCAATGGCATAGTAAGCGGACAATATTTGTATAATTTATAAGAAAGACGGAAGAAGAATTACAATTTTTAACGGTGGTCTTAGTGAAGAGTAGTGAATACACCACGGTCTGACAAAAGGACAAATAAATCTGTATAGCAGATGGACAAACAACATGTTCCTTAGAGGCAAAGATGGTGAAATTGTGTCTCATATACATTTTGGGGCTTGATGTCAAGAGGGGCCAGTCCCTGGAAATGGGCACACATGTTGGTCAAAGTAGAGGGTCAGTGAAAACAGAAGATGGACTGACATAGTGACTCCAACAGTGGGTTTGAGTATGGCAGAAATTGTGAGGAGGGGGTAAGACCCATCAAGGGTTTTGATCTGTTGTTGTTCATGACTGTTATGAGTCAAAATCGACCTGATGGCACCTAAGCACATGTAGGCCTATCTCTATATATTTAAACTACCTACACAAAAAACGAGGGAGCTCTGGTGGCCTAGTGGTAAGAAGTTGCACTACCACCCAAAGACAAGTGGTTCAAATCCAAATCCACCAGAAGTGCAAAGGAGAAAGATGAGCAATACTCTCTTGTGCTTCTCTTCTCTATTCTCTTATAGCTTCTGAAAGCCCTCAGAGGGTCAGGGAGCAGTTGGTTCACACTCAACTGCACATAAAAACACGACAGCAGAGGATGTAACAAAATCACTAAGACTGAGAGGCAGGTAGAAGAGAAGAGAAAGAAAAAAGAACAAGTTCAATGACCAAGAGAAGGAAGAACTTAGAGAAGCAAAAGCTTGTCAAGGAGCAAAGAAAATGGAAGACGAAATTCTTGTAAAACAGAAATGAAATCAGAGGAAAGAGCACTGCTTGGAAATGGAGAATGATTGGACAGATGGGGAATTATGAGTGGCTTCTAACATTCAAATGATAAACGGGCCCTCAGCCTGAAATACACATGCAAATACTATGTTTACAGTGGCTTCCTTTGCTCTACCTCTACTCCCTTCTGTTTTTCCTATTTCCAGAAAACTGGGAAAGTCTTGCTTTGTGAGAATCCCTGGCTCAATCTAAACTTGAACATAACATTTGCAAGTAGTAAAAACAATACTGAAGGGTGGCTCAGAAGATAAGAATGGCCTATTACTTATTTCTTCTCTACTTAATGCTAATACCAAATTAAGTGACATTGATTGAAAACATCTTGAAAACTTAATTATCATCTACTTACTTAGAGTGTTTACTTTTTGCTTTTACTTTGTCTTGAACAAAATTCCCACTTGGCCTCAGTGTTTCATTCTTGGGTACTAATGTCAGCTTCTTCTGAACGTCATTTTCCATTTGTTGCTGTTAAGAATACCCTCCATCTCCTGAACTCTCAAGCGTGCACTTGAGTTAGTTAAGCACCTGATTACTAAGCTTAAGGTTGGTCGTTCAAACCCAGCCAGAGATGTCTTAAACGAAAGCCTAGACTTCTATATGCAAACCCGCCCCCCCACCCCAGTCCTGACAATTCTATGGAACAGAGCAACTCTAACATGGTGACACTGAGTCTCCTGAGGTGAGACTGACTTGCTGGTAGCTGGTTATCATCTTCTCAACTCACAGATTAAAGAGGCGCATGGGGAGCTCTGGTGGCCTAGTGGCAAGGAGCTGCATCTACATTCCCAGAGGCGCACAGTTCGAATCCACCAGATGCTCTGCCGGGGAAGGAGGGACAATCTCCTCCTGTACCAGTCAGATCTGATTTGATGGTACACGTACCATAATAGAAAGTACAAAAATAAAAAAAAAAAAGAGGTGCATGGCAGGGCCTGGACCTACTATTCTCTATACTCCTGGGCAAAGGAAATGATGACTTTCCACAATTGGATATGTTGGATACATTTCCACATGTGGGATAAATTTCCTCCGCTAGCATACCAAGCATCACCTACTCTAGCTCCACAGCCTCCTATGAGGTTTGGTTGGGAATGTCACTGGCTACATGCTACACTCGTGGTGGTTCCCAAATGTCAGGGACGGGAGGTGGAGCACTTGGGCAAGTGAGGTGGACCACGTGAGACCAGGACCACCTTCTGAATGCGCAGGCCTTGCCAGCTGGCTGCCAGCTGAATTTGGCCTTGTGCAAATTACCAACCAGGATTGCAAGGTCTTTTTATTTTTGAAGGGAAGTTAATAATTAGCATTTAGAAGAAGTACTTTCCTTCTGAACCAGTGGAAATAGGACTTTTTTTTTTAACTGCGTGACCCAAAAGGTCTCTAGGTACTAAGCTCAGTTATAATGACTAGTTCTTTAATTGAATTTTTATTATTTTCTTGGAACTGAGGTTTCAGTAAAAGATACAACCTCTTTGAGTGGTTACATCATTTTTGAAATAACTACATGTGAAGCAGACGATTCAAAGAGAGAGGAAGAAAAAGCTGCAAAATTAACAGACATATGCTAAATTCCACAGAAATATTCTTTCTAATGATCAAAATACATTTCAATAAGAAAGAACTTCAGGACACACCAGACAAAGCTACTGGTACAGGAGGAGATTGCCCCTCCTTCTCCAGCAGAGCATCTGGTGGACTCAAATCCCATACCTCTAGGACTGCAGTGCAGCTTCTTGCCACTAGGCCACCAGAGCTCTCTGAAATATCTTCATTTTTGAAGTTTCACAATATTTTCACATCACTTTCTTACTGCTGTTCTTTTTTTCCTCACTTAGCTATCTTTGTTTACCTTGTAATATTTTCCTTACAAATCGACTGAGAATAAATTTTATTAGAAAATCTGAGATTCTGCAAAATTCATGGAGGAGGGGAAAGGAATGCATCTAGAAACTAAACAAAATCAAGCTGTTAAAAAGGGAAATTGTAACATATTGCTCAGAAACCAAATTCTGAATTTTGATAGTGAACTTAAAAGAAGGAAAAACCATTATTGCTAAAATGTCTTCCTTTAATACGACATTTACTTTAAAGTGTGTATATCTGGTGTATTGATAAATGATAATAACAATAATAAATATGACAGCTAGAATTACAGTGATAGTTACAAGAGAACAAAACAAACCTTAAAAGTAGGAGAGTGATACAGAGGTACAATATACGCACTAAACAAGCAGTTAATGCCTAGGTATCTGTATCAATCTTACAACTGAAATTAAATGTCAATGAAAGGTATATTTTGTTAATGTTTTATTTATACACACATATCTATTATTCAGTACTAAAACTTTGGAGAAAAAGAATTGAAATTGGGCTCATAATTTTGGCTATTGGAAATCAGTCTTTTCTTAGTTTGTCTAAATGAGCT